GGTACTTACCCAAGCACACATCCTCACACACCGACCACCGAGACATTGCCACAAACACGTTTCCGCGCCAATATAATTTACAACACTTACGATAGCATCACAAGATTCACGCAAATGCCAACAGAACAGCAGCTGGGTAAGCAACAACAACGTCCAACGCCTACAGCTGTTCAGACTATTTCGAGTGGAACAGGTCAACAGCACTTGGCGGTGAATGTTAAAGGTGGTGAAAAATAAAAGGAGACAACAGGGAGCATAATATCGAGGGAGCGCAATAACAGCGCCAAGCGAGGCAGCGCTAACAGGAGCAGCGCCGTGGGAGCATTATCGGTGGGCGCTTCGACCACGCTACTGACCAGCAGCAGCGCCGCTAATATCGCGGGCAACTCTCTTGGGTTTTTTGTTTGAATATTTTTTGTTGCTTGAATACCTTGCTTACGTTCTCTTAAGTTATCGCATAAAGTTTTTGTTACCTTTTGTTAATTTCTCATTTAGACAGCCACATTCCTTTGCTTTAAATTCCGTTGGCGCCGGAGCTTGGCAGTTTAAATATATACAAACATATATTTACATACATATCTGGATAAGCGAAGACGCATATAGACATACATATGTATGTACATATATGCATATACATACATACATATATGAATGTGGGGGTGTAAATAAGCGCGCGTATATTAGTTTTCTAGTTTTCTTGTCTTCGTTTTTTGAAACTTCACTGTTGTTCAACACTATTTGAATTTTGCTTTATCAAAACCACGGGTTTTGATTCACCTTTATCGGTGTTTTCAGTATTAGATTAGTTCAAGTACATTCACGTTTAGCTTTTTTTGAATTGTAAGTAGTTTTACCGCGCGATACTATGACCCGCTCGATGCCCCGAATCACGAACGAGTGATAGTACTGAGAGTGGTGGAGTGGTGGGTAAATATGTATGTATGAGCATTTGTGTAAGTAGTAAAGCACAGGTTCTCAGGCAGCATGCTGGTACCATCCCCGCTGGAGACCTAGGTGAGTACAAGTTGAATTTGTTTCTCTTATTACCATATCAATACATACATATTTAATACATACATACATATATATATTAATAGCAGTAGCAATAGATACGCAGATACATTTCAGTCACTGTCTCTGGGATTTTTTGGTTGAGACTTTAAAAGTTCAGGGTAGTTTTTTTTGTTTTAATTGATATTATTAGGACGTTTTATATTGGCAACACAAACGAGGGAAAACAGAATAGCGGGTACAAATATGCAGCAACATAACAGAACTTTTTCAGGAATTCAGAATGATAAATGTCAGGCGACTACTAACACCTTAAGCCTAAATGGAAAATTATGTCCTCAATAAACCCGCTTAAAAAAGGAAGCACAGGTACCTTTGTGCACAGCTGCATGCCCAAACATAGGCAAAACCACCATTCAGAGGATCAATTGATGGTTGCTATTTTAACTTGAATAAATAATTTGTTTAGTTAAAACATTTATCATGGTCCGCAGGTCTCAGTGAGTGCTTATAATTTTATTTAATTTTTCAACATTTTTGGTAATAATTATCACTATTTTTTAACATGTTTGGTAATATTTTTCACTAAAAGGTCAATGAGCAACGCTTTCGATAACAACAGCAATAACATTTTGATCTTAAATGGAAGATCTCAGCCATAATTATAGAATTCAACGTAATACAAGAAAAAAGAAAAAGGTGGCAACAAAATATCAGCACTCAAGACGTTTTTTTAACCGAAGTAAACAAGCATTATCCATATTTGTTGTATTATCCACTTTTATGTTACGTAGTGTAGTCATTTCTGCCAACCTTTCTTCAATATCGGTGCATATTCGTGGACAACGATGTACTGAAAGTGTCTAAAAATAAAAACAAAGATAAAACACGAGTATCTTATATACATATAAAAAGCAAATAAAGTAATTTAGAAACAAAGGAAAATATTTACTTATATACACCTGCGGCCGCGTACACCTAACCACTTAAAATTTTGGATATTTGATATAAAAATTTGGATATTTGCAATATTTGCAGTGCAGTAATTTAACATGCATGTTTTGTAGATACAAGAACATTAAGTATGAAGTGAAATCTAGTTCATTTAGGCCAGAATTCACCGTGCGTAGTAAACCTCTGACAAGAGTTTAACTATCGATTTTCATATTCACAGTACTTAGTTAACAAGAGCCTAAGCCCTGCCTGCCCCTATAGCAGAATTTTCATTCACATATCGTTACCTTAATATAGAAAGGAA